AGTACCCAAATACTTGAAGTCAAAATCTATTTGGCTTCTGAGTTCAGATGGCCAGGGATATCTCTCACAATGCAAACAACTCTAACTGACCTTCCCACCTTACCTCACTCAAATACCTGCAGTCTTCAGAGTCTATACATATTAGTCAGAACTTACTTTTTTCCAGTTAAATTGAGGGCAGAGATCAGTTCTCACAGTTCTGATCATATAGTAGTTCTTTAATATATGCTTATTGACATACTGACACCCTACGATGCTCACAAATGAGAAAATAATGATTTATTTGCTTTTTCATTCTACAGAAATTTGAGTGTCTATTTATTGTATGCTGGCCACTGTGCTTGATGCTCAGCATAAATAGTGGACAAAAGTTAATGATTAGTTTCATCATACCCCAAGTGTCAGTTCAACTCCACAAATATTTACTTAATACCTGTGATGTGAATGGCATTGTGTCAGGTATGACAGCAGACACAGAAAGAAATAAGATATAGTCTGCAGACTTTTATGGGAGGACATAAACTCTATGTACAACTGTAATAACAATAAAAACTAACAAGAGCACTGAATATTAAATGCCATAGAAAGGTACAAAGTGCTCTGGAGGGTCAACAAACAGCATATATGGTTTGGGAGAGTGGAGAGAGAAGAGGACAGGCATCACAAAATACTTCCTGAAGGTGGTACTTGAGAAAGGGCCTCAAAGAAGGAGACATTTTGATAGATGGGGATTCCTAGCAAAAGAGAAAGTATTTCAGGCAGAAGGTAGCATTAGCAAAGATAGAAAGACTGGTATGGTGCAGAATATTTTTTCAGAGATCATCCAGTTTGGAATGTCTAGATAAGTAATGAAAGATATGAGTCATAGTGTGAAGGGTTTTGAATGTTAGGCTTAGTATTCAAATAAATTTAGAAGGAGTTGAAAGCCTTCCTAAAACAATTCAAACTACTTTACTAATTCCTTAATCTTTAAAAAAAAACCCTTTTCTATTATGTATAATTTCTAAAGAAATCATGGAAATTAGTGATCTCTTCCTCCTACAGTAACAAAAATAAAATTTTGATAACTAAGCGAGCACACTGATGGGGGGAGAAGGCAGAATCTCAATAAGCCTAGCATTGTATCCCATACATTGGAGAATATATAAGGCTTAAAACAGACATGTGGGCAAATCCCAATAGCAAGAATAGCAGAAACAAGATTGGGGGTAAAATAACAGCATTTATTAAGCTCCTAGCAGCAGGCATTGTGCCAGGTGATTTACATATAACACCCTTGTTCCACCAAACAATCCCATTTAGATTTAGGGAAACTGAGGCTCAGGGAGGTCAAGGAAATTCTTCAAGGTTACCAAGCTAGTTAAGTTCAGCTTGTAAGGTGCAAAAGCAAGTTTTGAATCCAGGCCTGTCTGATCCCATATTTTCCCCATTGTTCACTCTTACTTGTTTTTATAGCACAAAGGAAGGATCATGATGCATGCTTCAGTGAAAGGGGCTGAATATTTAACACAGGGGTATGTATGGTTTGGAGAAAAATGAGGCTGAAACATTTAATATTGGGCTTAGGACAGCTTAGAGATCAAGACCAACAGAGATCAAATTTAAGGCTGCTTGTTGATCCAGTTTGAACAAGATCAAAACATAGGTTTTATTTAGGAATACTAAGGGAGCAAAATTCCAGTTTTTATTTATAAACTAGAGAGTAAACTCCAAGAGGATTTGTCTGGATTCATTGTATTCAAAGTCCCTAGGAACAGTGACTGGCACACAGTAGCCACTCAACAAACTTTTGATGAACTAATCGAAAGTCACTTAAGGGGTATTCTCACTTGTATACCCTCAAATGTTCTGAAATAAAGACAGCAGAATAATAAGTTTAATAAACCATTCAAGCTGTTAGAATACTTCCTTTAACCCTCAAACCCATGGCAAAAACAAAAAGCAAACCGCCACCACCAAAACAGCAACAACAAAATAGTCGTAAAACATTAGCATAATTTTATATAAAAGGTAGACAAAAGAATAAAAAGACGCCTTTGCATTATGTATAGCATCTCTGTGGATAATTAAATTTCAATGAGATGAACAAAATAGTCGTAAAACATTAGCATAATTTTATATAAAAGGTAGACAAAAGAATAAAAAGATGCCTTTGCATTATGTATAGCATCTCTGTGGATAATTAAATTTCAATGAGATGAAATCTAGAATTTTGACCTACTCTTTTAATATTTCAGACTGCTGTGAGTAGTGTATCCAATGACTGCTTTTGGAAAAGAAAATGGTTTTCTAACCCATGAACTCTAAAAAACTGACAATTTCTTTATTACAGATGGTAAGTAATAGAAAAATCTCTAACTCAAAGAAGTAACAGTATACTTTTTAAAGTCTTTATTTTTCTAATTTTGATATTATATTTCTATTAGAACACTTAAAAAAGAATTGCAACAAAGGGAATTAAGGGGAAAAAAAGATCTTTGGAAGACAGCAACTCTCTCCACAGAAACACTTAAAAAAATAAATAAAAACAGGTTTCACGGACTTTCCCTCTCTATTGTTCACAAGATTTCCTAATATTCCTTCTTTGATGGAAACAATGAATAACTCACTTATCACAAAACATCTTTCAGATATGTACTTTATTTATTGCTTTCTTCTAAACAGACAGTTATTCAAGGTGCTCAAGTCTTTCAGCTGCAGCAATTTTTCTTATTTCTATTATACTGCATTTCTTCCATGGAATATCATAAAGACCAATTTAATAAACTCCTTTGCTTTCCGAAGACAGTTTCCAAAAGGCAATACTACTGTATTTCAATCAGGGATTTTAACATCATTTGCTCTATCTTTTTCATTTAGTTCTGCAATTTTTCCATACTTCGATAATTCCTAATACTATAGTTTCCTCAGGGTCAACATATTGTATTTTCTTCTATATTACATTAATATAGAAGATAGTGAATATTTCTCTCTAATCAATTAATTACTACTTACTTGGGGCAGTCTACATGTCCCTAACCTTCTATTAATAACAAAATAGACACTATTTTGCTTGCCTTTTCAGTCAACTACTGCAGCAATTTAGTGGTCTTTCACGAGATAACTCACAATTGATTCTACAGTCTTAGACTGACCTGTTTAAAAAAATGTCTACATAAGGTTTAAAGATGTATTTTTTTCTTTACTGTAACATTTGGTTTAAAACACGTTTTCTAATAAACTAAACCAAATAGCTTTTTAAAAGAACTAGTATTAGAATAACTGCAAATTCTGAGACTAGATTAAGTAACAATCTCCAAGGAAAAAAATACATAGGGCTATTATTTTAAAAATTCTTTAAAAACATTACAGTTCTAAGTTCACTTGATAGATATTCTAAAATTACTAAAGTTGTTAAGATTTCACAAAGTAAGCCCCAAATAGATTGATTCCTTCAGAATGCACACAAACACAACCAAATATCATGTCACCTGACAGCAGAAACCAAGGAATCAAAGTTGTTGAGTGTTTATCATCACGTCACATATACAAAAACTTGAGAAAACAGGAAAATAGAAAGTCTTTCTTATTCATCTTTCGACCTTTGTGAGTCAATTTTTCCCCCCTACCTAAAATCTGGGCTCGGTCTCATGACCCTTGCACCATGCTTTTTTTTTTTTTTTGTCTTTTTGTCTTTTTTTGTGACCGGCAACAGATCGCAACCCTCAGTGTCGCGCCTGTACCGGACCGGGACCGGCAATGGGATCGCAACCCTCGGTGTTGCCCCCGCACCTCGCTCAGTCAGTGAGCGGGAACCGGTCTGTATGTGGGATCCGAACCCTCGTCGGGAGGGCCGCTGCGCTTCCCAAGCAGTGCACTGTAGCAGTGCGCCACCAGGCCGGCCCTGCACCATGCTTTAAAACCATAAAGAACAGATCCCATTTTTTTTTTTTTTTTAAAGATGACCGGTAAGGGGATCTCAACCCTTGGCTTGGTGTTGTCAGCACCACGCTCAGCCAGTGAGCAAACCGGCCATCCCTATATGGGATCCGAACCCGTGGCCTTGGTGTTATCAGCACCGCACTCTCCCGAGTGAGCCACGGGCGGCCCCACAGATCCCATTTTTAAGTCACTGCTGAATTTAATTAAACTACAACGGGGGTAAATGTGCTAAAATACAGCTTTCACAAATGCTACATGTGAGAATTTTTAAGGCTGAGAAAATTGTTCTCTGGCACCAGCTACAAGTTCTGTAGCCCCAAATCAACAGGTCTAAGAATTTAAGATGCCAATTATATCAGTTAAGGTAACATCAAATTTGAGTACTTCAGTATAATACTTTCACTCTGCCCCATAATTTACGTAAAATATTCAGTCCTCTAACTAATAAACCACCTCCTTAAAAAGAGCAGCCACAGAGTTCCTGTTGCATGTCAAGGCAGAGCCCTACACCTCACTCAGTCGAGGTTGGACTTGAGTAGGGGAGCAGGGGTAGGCAATTCCTGAGTCACACAACCAAGTACGTCGCCTTGTACAGATGAACAGAGAATTTTAACCAGGGGAGTTCGAATTGTCTGAAGAAAGTATTAAGAACATTTTGTTGGGGAGGAAATTTCCCATCTTAATCGTGGAAACAAAACTCACATAAATTCTGACTGGAGGTTGGTGATTAGCATAATTTGATGGAATAACCTAACTTTTCACACAAAATATGACCCCAAACCTATAAAATACCGTATCTGCGAATGGCACCAAGCACCACCTTTTCAGGCACCCACCAACGCTGGAAGCGGGTTGGACACCCCCGAGCCACCACCCTCTCCCCCCACAGGAAGTGATTTATGTTTCCCCCTCCCCCAGGACGGCCTTTCTCCCTTCCCCCCGCCGGAAGTGAGGCGCCCCCATTCAGTCGGCCTCAAACTGAGACAAACCAGTAACAACAACAGCAGAAGAGGGATGCTCTTCAAGGGGTAAGGGGTATTTCCACTGTGGTCACCCCCACGCTCGCCTTGCTTACTGACCTGCTGACGATAGGGGCAGGCAGGGGCCTGGGGCCTAAAGAAAACCCCTCGCACAGAGGACAATTCCCTCAGCCCCTCTGAATCGCCTTCACTCTTCGCACACCGTCGTCTCACAGCTTGGAAAAAATTCCTCCGCAGCACATTATTTTGATATCCTTTCTTTCTCTTTACCTAATCGTTTAATCACCCTCGCATTAGGTAACTTCTCTTATCTCAGTAACATTTAAGAATGTTCAGGTGAGGTGAAAAAGGAAATATTATTCCCTATATCCTCAGAAAAATGAAGGGATTATTTTGTTCAAATGCGGCGAAGGACTACGTGGTTACGCAAGGTGAGACTCATTTTCGTGGAGGTTTCTGGGAGACGTAGTTTTCTTTTTTTATTGCTAAGGCCCGCAGAAAATAGTGGGACTTAAACTGGTAATTACTATACACTGGAGTCCGTGAAAACACATATCCTATATTAGACGCCCAGCTGATGTAGGGGACCCTCAAATGGGCCAAGACGTCCTTGCCCTTTTCCTCTGGCATTTAATTGAACCCAAATTTCTCCTCATATGGGCCCAAGGTCTCGGTTGTCCCGCCCTTTAGGTTTGGCCCCGCCCCACTCACCCAATCAGGCGCCCTCTAGGTCTTATCCTCTGGGGATTGGAAAGCAGAGAGGCGGGGCCTCGCGGCGACTCCTCCCGCCGGGCTGGGGAGTGACCTGGGAGAGGGCCTGGAGCCTATGCGTGCGCGCGGGCTCTCTCCGAAGGAGCCCGGCAGCGGGTGCGCGCGCGAAGGGGCGGTGCGCGAGTCTGCGAGGAGGCGGCAGGCTGGGCGGGCGGCGAGCGGCCGGGAGCGCGCGGTGGACTCAGTGGCAGTGAGTAGTTAGTTAGTTGTTAGTGTCAATTGCTCGGCGGCGGCGGCCGCGGTCACCAGGAAGGGGACGGGGAGGGCGGCGATGGCGGTCACCGCGGCGGCGTGTGCGTCCCTCAGGTAACGGGGGTAGGGCTACCGCGTCCCCTTCGTTCCCTTCTCCTTGCGCGCCGGCGTGTGGGACCAGTGTCGCTGCGGGGTGAGGGGGCTGACCCGGGGGAATCCGGGCGGGGCGGCTCGGAGTCTCGGTGGCGCCGCCGCCGGAGCTCGGCCGGCCGGTGCGTCCCGCCCGGCGCGGGCTCTCCCGCCCCGGCCACCCC